TGAGAATCTATACCAAACATGCTCTTAATAACAATCCACATAATAAAAAATATTTGAATAGCAATCCAATAATGCATTGGATTAATCTTTAAACTTTTGTGCTACCTAAATGGTAAGAATTAAATGGAGATTCTCTGAAAATTATCCATTTGAGACTGTCATTTGACCAATAATGTGGACCAAAAGTTGGATATCAAATATAGATACAGAAATGTCCATAACCAAAAATTACAAAGTACCAAAGACAGGAAATTGTGTATTTTTACAAAGTATGTAACCTTTTCACAAACAAAATATGGTAACGTCAATTGTATCAAATCCTTGAAGGAATCAAGGGAATGGTGTTCTGTAAATAGGCAGAAGCAGCTGCAACTCCACTACCAAGTTTCACTGGGTACCCCACATCCTTGAGCACCATTTCCACTCCAGCAAGACACCCCAACAGTTGCAACTGTAGCCAATGCATCAATGGTAACATAAACTATATTAGAACGTCGTGTACACAGTATTAGATATGACTGTACAGTATGATATACAAAACTTTAGCTTCTTTTTCTTCTTATATATTATCTAGCGGCATGCAAAATAAAGGCGTCATTTCGAAAAAGTACATCTGAATTTTGAAATGTCTTGTGTGAGCAAATGTCAATTTCAAGTCGGAATCAATAATGACTTTGTTTGTTTCAAGTAGGGGTGTAAAAATGGGACAGGTAGTCCAGACCCGACCCACATCACATCTACAGACCAAGCCTCAATCCATGCAGGGTGCGCGCTTGGCCATCGAGAAAAGGGTCGTGCTGGTTCAGTCTGCCCTTATTACTCCATCAGTTTGATGAGTACAGATTCCAATAGTTGAAGAAAAAATCAGATTTCCAGCAGAAAATAGCAGGGAGTAAAGAAAACCATACCTCATTAAGGTTTCCAAGATGTCCAATTCTAAAAACCTTTCCAGCAACCTTGTTGAGGCCCAAACCTAAGCCTAAATTGTATCGTTTCCACGCTCTTCTAACAATTTCCGAGCTGTCAATATACGGTGGAACGACCACAGCAGTTACTGTGTCACTGAACCATTCCTCCTTTTGGGTGCAGTTCTTCAAGCCCCATGCATCCACTGCCAGCCTGCATTTTCATGGCAGAAATCTTTAATTGCTCGTTTGGTAAGTTGGACTTGACTCTAGTTTGTATAGTTCGTTTCACATCTAATACTAAGTACAAAACACGTGGTAATTAGGTTACCTTGTTGCTTTGGCAAGGCGACCATGCCTTGCAATTACATTGTCGAGTCCTTCCTCAAAAATGAGGTCCAAACCTGCTCTTAGGCCATATAGAAGTTGGATGGAAGGGGTGTATGGCCAATATGTTCCCAACTTATAGAACTTCAAGTAATCATTCCAGTCGAAGAAGACTCTGACTGATTTTGCGTTTTAGTGGCCACGAGAGCCTTGGGGCTCGCACACACAATTCCCATCCCTGTAGGAAGAGAAAGAGCTTTCTGCGAACCGGTGAGAGCCACGTCTATTCCCCATTCATCCATGCGGAAATCAAGTGCACAGATGGATGAAACACCATCAACAAGAAAGAGCGCCGGATGCTGATGGTGATCTGACAGACATTTGAAAAATTGATATGGCATTTTGACAATAACCATACCACAATGATACAGAATGAACTCTTACCTAATATCTTTCTTACGGCAGCCAAGTCATTGGTTACCCCAGTTGCCGTCTCATTGTGCACGATGCAAATGGACTTAATTGTATGAGCTTTATCTGCAGCAATTTTCGATGCCAAAACATCAAGATTCGCACCTTGACCCCATTCACTTTCAATGACGTCAACATTGAAGTTAAGGCGCTGCTGTTGATCTATCCAGAGCAAACTGAATTGGCCAAT